TAGATATTAGTAACTATTTCTATTGTGTAGCATGCAAGATCAGTAAGTTAAATTCACTTAAGTGGTTGGTCTCCTTAATAAGTAATTATCGCAATGCAACTTAGTTCATTTAGGGGTGTATGATTTACTAATCTTTACCTTTGATCCCAAATTAGCTATTCCTAGACAAGGTCAAGCTAATAGTGAGGTTTGATTGCCTCAAATCTTCGTTGTATAATCTCTTTTTTCCATTCGTTATTCCCCTTGGTCCGGCAAGTAAGAATAAGGTGTGCTCTAAAGTATGCATCAATTAAAAATCAATCAAAGTGAAGGGAAAAACAATACATGCATGCACAATTTCCAAGGCTTACTAAATGTTTGGTCTACTTCGTTAATTGATGCTTATCATGACCAACGACACTACTTCCAATTCAAGTGTCTATGATCATTGATAATATAGTAACCCAACCGATGGTTGGGATTGTCCCAAGGGAGTGGTTTTTGAGAATTTACAGAAAAATAAAATTTAGTTCTAACTAGTCGTAGCTAAAGATATTAACGATTAAAAATATTATAAATTAAAGGGGGACACAAAAGTGTCAAATATCGATTTGGGGTTTTGTCACAAGTAAACTAAAATTAGCTAAATCAACAAGAAAATCTGCCAATGAGAGGGGAATTTTTGGGATGTGACTAGAATACGGGTTAATCTAAATTATTGGGTACATGCTTTCGATAGAGAATTTATAGAGTAATAGTGACTAGGTTAAGCTATACGTGGGAATAAATTCTCTCTCGAGCAACTTACCCCATTTTAAATGGGTTCCTCTCGTACACCCACTTGCAGCATGAAGACCAGCCTACGCCTTACCCTAGTCACTCTCTCGAGCTGAGTGTTAGGATATGGGACTAGGGCTCACCCTCTCGGGTTGAACCTCATGTCGACTCACTCTTTAGTCCATCAGTCTAGCAATCTTGGTTTCACGACCTCTCTCTCAAGCAAGCCGAAACACATGGGTGGATTTGTATTTGCAACTACAAACCCATTAAATTCGACCACAACTACTTGGTGAAATCATCATTAAACTACATAACAATATTAACCCATATTCGCTAAATCTCACCCCAAGAATGGGGGTTTTTAGCCACACATCAAGAGATATAAATTTATACCTAGATGAGCTTGCATTGAAATGGGTATGAGGATTTAAGTCTTGTTACAGGCAAAAAATGAAGAAATCAATAGACCCAAGTCCAAATCCTTTGAGATGAAACTCTCTTCTTCTTCAAGTGCAAAACCCTCTCAAACTCAAAAGCAAAATAAAAAGTACTATTCTATATGAAGATTATAATAAAAAAATTTCACACTAAAAATCTGATGATAAGCTATAACTCTTAATGAGTATTTATAGTTTTCAAAAATCTGTGTTGCAGCGGACCATTCGACGACATTAGTCAGAATTGCCGATCAACTCGGCGATTCTCCCTTTGGTGTAATTCATCGCCGTTTTGCACCATCCTTCAGCATAGTCATGCTCTGGGTCATTGGGCGACATAGTACTACTTTGCAGAACTTCTCGGTGATGCGCCGATTGCTTCTTTTTTCCGTTGACTTGATCTTTTCCTTCAGGACTCAGCACACTGGAACAAAAGGCGAAGTGAGACCCTTCGATGACTCACCAAGTGGACTCGGTGATCCTCAGGCCTTCATTTCTTCATTCTTTTTAGCCTTTTCGTTCCTTTTTGCAATGTAGTGTGCATGCTTTCCTAAAAACTTCACATAGCTGAAACTTAAGGGTTTTCATCAGATATTGAGATAAAATAAGTATTTGAGGACACAATTTCTATTAAAATATAGTCCTAAATGAGTCCAATTTGTGGACTCATGAACACCCCCACCTTAAACTTTTGCTTGTCCTCAAGAAAACTCAAGTTCAGTCGTTCAAAAAGGGTGTCTCTAACAGTGCTACACAAGACTCAATCATGATTGCACACAACAAGACTCAATTTACTTATGCAAATATCAAATGTGTACTCAAAGATTCAAGTTGTGACTCACCATTACCAAATATTCTCTTACTCACAATACTTGTTTCAAAAGCAAGTTCAAGCTCAACTATAGTGTGCAAATGCCCTCAAAGAAAGGATGATTCCATATTCACACAATGGTTCATAGTTAAAAGCTTCAGAATCAGATGCAACACTTACTCTCACAAGGAAGAACACAATACATGCTTTCACCCATATGTTCACCCTTATTTTCCAATCAACATTTGTTTCAGCTCACTCAAGATAAATAGGTCTTTTTAAGGTTTATAATGGGGCTGAGTACAAGTGTGTGGTCATTTAGGCTCAGTGACATTCATCCTCATGAGGTGTGGTGCTCACAACATTTCCTTACCTTTTCCTTCATCATTCTCTTCATGGCTCATAAGTCATCCTATTATTCACTTTCCATGGATTGTTTGGGAACCCTTTTTCATTTTTCAACATTATTCCACAAGTTTTCTTTTTCATTCTTTTTCTATTTCTTTTCTATCTCTTTTTTTTTATATGGAGGGGTTCTATTTTCCTCAAAACCATGGGTAAGAGGGGCTTTTCTGCACTTCTTGATTTGCCTTGTATTTTTACCACACCCCCAATTAGGTTTTTGGCCTAGGTTAGCTATTCAAACTAACCACAACTTCACGAAGATTATAGGTGATGGATTAAGAAAGGTCTAGTTTTCATCAAGTTTCTTCCAAAAAAAGGTAAGGCTCAAGGGGTGTTCAAGAGAGAATCACACACTTACAAGGTAGGTCACAAAAGAGGTGTATGTCAAATTGGCTCACACTCGTAGAAGTTTCCTAAGATCATATCAAGAGATAGCATCACTTAGTTGACCGGACCAACGGGGCAAATTCTAGGATCTATCATTCATAGTTCACAGGTAGGCTCATCACACTAGGCATTGACACTATAAGTTAAACAACACTCCACACTTTCGCTAGTGTGCAATGATCATCGATCGCAAGAGAATCAATTTGATGCAAGGCTAGTCATAACGAGATGCAAAGAGTTCACATAGTGTCTATGCAACTTCATTTGGCCTCATCATAGCTGCGCGTTCATATTCGTTCTATTGTAAGCACTATTCAAGTCATCGGTATTGATCGAGATCGACACTTAAATTTTGCAAAAGAACAGCCACGCTCAACACATGAAAGGAGGCAAACAAATAAAAATTTGAACGGGTTAAAATCATTTTGCAATTTAAAATAAAAGGAGCCATAAGCTCAAACTTCCACAGAAACAAATAAAACACAATGATAGCTCAAAGCCTAAATACATAAGCAAAAACACGAGTCACAAGTAGCACACAAAAGGTGGGCCTCACCCCACCACAAATAAAAGTAATTGTCCTCAAATGCATTTAACAGAATATCCAGACTTTAAAAATAAAGAAAGATAGAAAGGGAGGTAGAAATCCTATCTACAAAGTCACTCCATATGTCTGGGCATCAGTACCCGGGGTGTTGTCATTCCGACTTTGGTTTTCATTGTCTGTGTTTGCCTCAGTTTCTGCATCGATATTAGCTTTAGCCATATTGTCCAAATCGTGAGCTGCTCCAAAGGCATGTATCGCGTTAATAAACCCTCGATTCCACAAACGGACATTAGGGTCAATGGGAGTCCTCCTATTGGAACTGGCTTTCTTGTTTTCGCTCCTTGCTTTGGGGTGATCTGTCGCCCCAGCATATCTTTTGGAGTTTTGTGCCCTTATATGTCGTTGTGGCACATTTCTTCCTGCAACTTTTGGTCTGGCCATGTCTGTAAAGCCTTGAGATAAAGTTAGAAATACAGGCAGATTAAGCAATTCATTTGGTGAATCACCTAAAAATTTTGGCAAACAAAGATATTCTCGCCTAAAGTTTCAGCTGCCACATCAGATAATGCATGATAATAAGGGTGAGATGGGACGCTTTGGTGATCCGCTGAGTTGTTCGGCGAGCTCGTCACAGCTCGACGAATGACCCAACGTGCCTACTTGTGACCCACTTTCCCGAATTCAACCCTACGACCCACGAAAACACAATTAAGGCACACAACTCAAATTAGGCTTAGACCCAGCGACAATCATGCTCAACGCATAAATTTAAAGTCAGTTTAAAAATGTAATCTTCAGGAACTACCCATTTAACTTAGTACATGCAAAATTTGCAGATCTAACAGGCAGACAAATATTATAATCCTACAAGAGAAACACATCACAAATTAACAAGGTGATATCATTGCATTAAGTCCAAAATTAATAAAAAGAACTTAGAGTTTGGGAATCAACCTTTCGTGCTGACTAAAATGTAGTTGATTCGCTAGGCAGCAATGTAATCCAACTCCCAAACACAAATCAACAACTAAAATACTCTAAAAGTGTAGGGATATTTAAAATAGAGTGCAGGTGTGAGTTTAGGCAGATAAAAAGTAAGGGAAAGTGAATGAAGTTAAAACTTTTAAACCTTTGGCTTGTAAAAACTGTCCAGTTCTCACCCACTCGGCGACATTAGTTCCAATCGCCGAACCTCTTGGCGATTTGCTAAGTGAGCACTCGACTCACCGAGTTTTACAGGATCTTCAGTCATCGTGAAGGTCCAAACGACGGTTTCCATCGTTACCGCCAACATGGTTGGTGATTCGCCAATAGTCTCCAAATCTCGCCGAGTTTTACAAACCCTAATGTTGACGATGTCTTGAGTCAAACGGAGGAAAAGGTCGGATTCGCCGACCCCTTCGGTGACTCGCTGACTGGATCTATTGCTTGCCATCTTTCACTTTGTCAAACACTTCTTATACTTTAACCTATACAAACAACACACCATTATTTTACCAAGAAATAAGTACTGATAATAATAAAAATAAAGCAATTAAAGGGGTTTTGGGTTGCCTCCCAAACAGTGCCTTAGTTATCGTCATGGCACGACGCTAGTCCTTCTTCAAATCTCACTCTTGGGGTTAGCCATAGTATTACTAGGAAAAGCCCCTTGCTATCTCGGATTAAGGTGAGATGAGATATGACCCAATTGGGTCTCTAAATGCTTGATTGAAACATAATGGGAGGTGACGGTCTGGCTAAGGGTAGAAACATCTTCTTTCATGCCTTTCACCATTTTATCTGACCCTTCAACTTTGTTGAGGATACGCGAGAGCATACCCTCAAACCTACCACCCTCTGAGTCCTTTGGCTTTTGGCGCTCGTGGGGAGGCACATAGTAGTCCTTCTCCCCGTCTTTCCAATTAGGATTTCGGTCTCTCCATTCTTGATCCTTCCATCCTTCATCTCTAGCCCAACCTTGGTTACCACCCTGCATTGGGTAGTTTGAACGATAACCACCACCTTGGTTGGCTAGAAAGTTAACCTCCTCATTATACAATGCTTCGAAATATGACTCCTCAGGATTTGCATTCCCAACCCCCATAACATTGACACCACGGGCACCAACCTTCATGACATTTTTGGACAAAATATCAAGATGTTTCATTATATTGGCCATGTTTTGGTCTCTCTCATTATATTTATTCATCTGTTCCTTGGATAGTTTGAATGTGAGAGGGGATACTTGGTATTCACGGGTGTACCATTCCCTATTGATGGTTGTCATGCCATCTAAAAGTTGGGCTGCTACTGCATACGGTTGCTGCATTAGGCCTCCAGGTGAAAGTTGATCAGTGATACCTTTATTCACCGATTCTAGGCTTCGGTAGAAGTACTGTAGCAAGATATTATCAGGTAGACCATGAGTTGGGCATTGTAGCACCAAAATTTTAAATCGCAGCCAAGTTTCGTGCAGAGGTTCTCCTTCTAGGCGTTTAAAGCTCTGGAAGCTATCTCCCAGTGACATCATCTTCGAGGGCGGGAAAAATTGCATTTGAAATGCAGTTACCAGTTCCTCCCAAAAAGTAATGGATTCATGTGGTAGATCGGCTAGCCACTTTCACGCCTCTCCCATCAACGAGAAAGGGAATAGCCTCAACCTGACCGACTCTTGAGAGATGTTTTTGAACGAGAATGGTACGCACACATCTACAAATTTTTGAAGATGCTCGTGAGGGTCCTCGTGAGCCAGTCTGCTGAAAAGCCCTTTAGTTGCAAGAGTTGCAACATGGTGCTCGTTATGTGGAACAGATGGCTCCAACACCTCCCATGAGATGGGGGCCATTAATGTTGGGTTCTTGGACACCGTAGAGATTTCCAATGTCGTCTTGGTGGCTTACCTGGCTACCGTTGCGACCATTAACACTCATGCTTTCTGAAATATTCACACAGCAAACAAAACAAAAGTAAAGATTAGGTAAGTAGACTACAACTAAGAAGAACAAAAAATTTTCTAATCCAAAAAAATTCAAATAACACCACTCCCCGGCAGCGGCGCCATTTTGATGCTTATCGTGACCAACGACACTACTTCCGATTCAAATGTCCACGATCGTCGATAATATAGTAACCCAACCGAGGGTTGGGATCGTCCCAAGGGAGTAGTTTTTGAGAATTTATAGAAAAATAAAATTTAGTTCTAACTAGTCGTAGCTAAATATATTAACGATTAAAAACATTGTAAATTAAAGAGGGACAGAAAAGTCTCAAATATCAATTTGGGGTTTTTGTCACAAGTAAGCTAAAATTAGAGAAATCAACAAGAAAATCTAACAATGAGAGGGGAATTCTTGGGATGTGACCGGAATACGGGTTAATCTAAATTATTGGGTACATGCTTTCGATAGAGAATTTATAGACTAATACTGACTAGCCTAAGCTATACGTGGGAAAAAATTCTCTCTCGAGCAACTTACCCCCATTTCAAATGGGTTCCTCTCGGACACCTACTTGCCACATGACGACCAGCCTACGCCTTACCCCACTCATTCTCTCGAGCTAAGTGTTAGGATATGGGACTAGGGCTCACCCTCTCGGGCTGAACCTCATGTCGACCCACTCCTTAGGCCATCAGTTTAGCAGTCTTGGTTTCATGACCACTCTCTCGAGCAAATCGAAAACACATGGGTGGACTTGTATTTTCCACTACAAACCCATTAAATTCGACCACAACCACTAGGTCAAATCACCATTAAACTACATTTAATCTATTAACAAGCAAGACCCAATAACAATATTAACCCATATTCGCTAAATCACACCCCAAGAATGGGGTGTTTTAGCCACACATCAAGAGATAGAAATTTATACCTAAATGAGCTTGCATTCAAATGGGTATGAAGATTTAAGTCTTGTTACAGGCCAAGAATGAAGAAATCAAGAGACCCAAGTCCAAATCCTTGGAGATGAAACCCTCTTTTTCTTCAAGTTTCCAAAACCCTCTCAAACTCAAAAACAAAATAAAAAGTACTATTGTATATGAAAATTATAATAATTGTTTTTCACACTAAAAATCTGATGATAAGCTATAACTCTCAACGAGTATATAGTTTTCAAAAATCTGTGCTGCAGCGGACCATTCGACGACATTAGTCGGAATCGCCGATCAACTCGGGGATTCGTCCTTTGGTGTAGTTCATCGCCATTTTGCACCATCTTTCGGCATAGTCGTGCTCTGGGTCATTGGGCGACATAGTACTGCTTCGCAGAACTTCTCGACTATGTGCCGACTGCTCTTTTTTTCCGCTGACTTGATCCTTTCCTTCAGGGCTCAGCACACTGGAACAAAAGGCAAAGTGAGACCCTTCGGTGACTCGCCAAGTGGACTCGACAATCCTCAGGCCTTCATTTCTTCGTTCTTTTCAGCCTTTTCGTTCCTTTTTGCTATGTAGTGTCCATGCTTTCCTAAAAACTTCACATAGCTGATACTTAAGGGTTTTCATCAGATATTGAGATAAAATAAGCATTTGAGGACACAATTTCTATTAAAATATAATCCTAAATGAGTCCAATTTGTGGACTCATCAACACCCCCAATTTAAACTTTTACTTGTCCTCAAGCAAACTCAAGTTCAGTCGTTCAAAAAGGGTGTCTCTAACAGTGCTACAGAAGACTCAATCATGAATGCACACAACAAGACTCAATTTACTTATGCAAATATAAAATGTGTACTCAAAGATTCAAGTTGTGACTCACCATTACCAAATATTCTCATGCTCACAATACTTGCTTCAAATGCAAGTTCAAGCACAACTATAGTGTTCAAATGCCATCACAGAAAGGATGATTCCATATTCACACAATGGTTCATAGTTAAAAGCTTCGAAATCAGATGCAACACTCACTCTCACAAGGAAGAACACAATGCATGCTTTTACCCATATGTTTGCCCGTATTTTCCAATCAACATTTGTTTCAGCTCACTCAAGATCAAAAAGGTCTTTATAAGGCTTATAATGGGGTTGAGTGCCAATGTATGGTCATTTAGGCACAATGTCTTTCATCCTCATGAGGTGTGGTGCTCACAACATTTCCTTACCTTTTCCTTCATCATTCTCTTCAGTGCTCATAAGTCATCCTGTTATTCACTTTCCATGGATTGTTTGGGAACCCACTTTCATTTCTCAACTTTATTCCACAAGTTTTCTTTTTCATTCTTTTTGTTTTTCTTTTCTGTCTATTTTTTTTTATATGGAGGGGTTCCATTTTCCTCAAAACCATGGGTAGAAGGGGCTTTCCTTCACTTCTTGATTTGCCTTCTCTTTTCACCACACCCCCAACTTAGGCTTTTTGCCTAAGTTAACTATTCAAACTATCCACAACTTCACGAGGATTATGGGTGATGGATTAAGAAAGGTCTAGTTTTCATCAAGTTTCTTCCAAAGAAAGGTAAGGCTCAAGGGGTGTTCAAGAGAGAATCACACACTTACAAGGTAGCTCACAAAAGAGGTATTTGTCAAATTTGCTCACACTCGTAGAAGTTGCCTAAGATCATATCAAGAGATAGCATCACTTAGTTGATCGGACCAATGGGGCAAATTCTAGGATCTATCATGCATAGTTCACAGGTAAGCTCATCACACTAGGCATTGGCACTATAAGTTAAACAACACTCCACACTTTCGCTAGTGAGCAATGATCATCGATCGCAAGAGAATCAATTTGATACAAGGCTAGTCATAAAGAGAGGCAAAGAGTTCACATAATGTCTATACAATTCATTTGGCCTCATCGTAGTCGTGCATTCATGTTCGTTCGATTGTAAGCACTATTCAAGTCATCGGTATTGATCGAGACTGAGACTTAAATTTTGTGAAAGAACAACCACGCTCAACACACAAATGGTGGCAAAAAAATAAAAAATCGAACGGGTTAAAATCATTTTGTAATTTAAAATAAAAGGAGCCATAAGCTCAAACATCCACAGAAACAAATAAAACACAATGATAGCTCAAAGCCTAAATACATAAGCAAAAACACGAGTCACAAGTAGCACACAAAAGGTGGGCCTCACCCCACCACAAATAAAAGTAATTGTCCTCAAATGCATTTAACAGAATATCCAGACTTTAAAAATAAAGAAAGATAGAAAGGGAGGTAGAAATCCTATCTACAAAGTCACTCCATCTGTCTGGGCATCAGTACCCGGGGTGTTGTCATTCCGACTCTGGTTTTCATTGTCTGTGTTTGCCTCAGTTTCTGCATCGATATTAGCTTTAGCCATATTGTCCAAATCGTGAGCTACTCCAAAGGCATGTATCGCGTTAATAAACCCTCGATTCCACAAACGGACATTAGGGTCAATGGGAGTCCTCTTATTGGAACTGGCTTTCTTGTTTTCGCTCCTTGTTTTGGGGTGATCTGTCGCCCCAGCATATCTTTTGGAGTTTTGTGCCCTTATATGTCGTGGTGGCACATTTCTTCCTGCAACTTTTGGTCTGGCCATGTCTGTAAAGCCTTGAGATAAAGTTAGAAATACAGGCAGATTAAGCAATTCATTCGGCGAATCACCTAAAAATTTCGGCAAACAAAGATATTCTCGCCTAAAGTTTCAGCTACCACATCAGATAATGCATGATAATAAGGGTGAGATGGGACGCTTTGGTGATCCGCTGAGTTGTTCGGCGAGCTCGTCACAGCTCGACGAATGACCCAACGTGCCTACTTGTGACCCACTTTCCCGAATTCAACCCTACAGCCCACGAAAACACAATTAAGGCGCACAACTCAAATTAGGCTTAGACCCAGCGACAATCATGCTCAACGCATAAATTTTAAGTCAGTTTAAAAATGTAATCTTCAGGAATTACCCATTTAACTTAGTACATGCAAAATTTGCAGATCTAACAGGCAGACAAATATTATAATCCTACAAGAGAAACACATCACAAATTAACAAGGTGATATCATTGCATTAAGTCCAAAATTAATAAAAAGAACTTAGAGTTTGGGAATCAACCTTTCGTGCTGACTAAAATGTAGTTGATTCGCTAGGCAGCAATGTAATCCAACTCCCAAACACAAATCAACAACTAAAATACTCTAAAAGTGTAGGGATATTTAAAATAGAGTGTAGGTGTGAGTTTAGGCAGATAAAAAGTAAGGGAAAGTGAATGAAGTTAAAACTTTTAAACCTTTGGCTTGTAAAAACTGTCCAGTTCTCACCCACTTGGCGACATTAGTTCCAATCGCCGAACCTCTTGGCGATTTGCTAAGTGAGCACTTGACTCACCGAGTTTTACAGGATCTTCAGTCATCGTGAAGGTCCAAACGACGGTTTCCATCGTTACCGCCAACATGGTTGGTGATTCGCCAATAGTCTCCAAATCTCGCCGAGTTTTACAAACCCTAATGTTGACGATGTCTTGAGTCAAACGGAGGAAAAGGTCGGATTCGCCGACCCCTTCGGTGACTCGCTGACTGGATCTATTGCTTGCCATCTTTCACTTTGTCAAACACTTCTTATACTT